AAAAAATGTTTCATTTTATAATAATAAAGCCACCAACACAAAATAATTACAATTCTTAAATTGATGACAAAAATACCTGTAGGATTTGCAGCTGGTTGGAAAAATACAGGTAACTTTATGCTTCGAGTAGGTACTTTTGTCACCCGCGCACGATTTGCGGACACGACTAGCACTAACCACTGCACAATGAGACTGCTGACTGACTGGCTCACTCAACTCGTGCATTAATTGAGTGCGCCTCCCCCGCGCTGCGTATCCCGCGGCCCGGCCAGCCTGCGCCGTGTCTCCCATCGCCCGACCGACCGACACCCCCCACTCCTTCTAACGCCTCTTCTTCAAAATAGACTCGCCCAGGCCGAAAACCGACTTCTGTGCATGGGCCATGAAGTTTCAATCGCACTGTACGTGCGCGCCCGCAGGTGGTATTTTGTGGGAGAGCCACACTCAAGGGGCCAAAGAGCCGCATGTGGCTTGCAAGCCGCGGTTTGCCGACCACTGGGATAGGCCATTGACATGGCAAGGCACGTGGAGTCAGACCCATGGCCTCACAGAGCAAGTGAGGGGGGGTCAGGGGATTGTCTTAGTCAGAAATGGGAAGATTTGAAGAGGGAGCATCATGAACAAAGGCTTAACAGCATAATGTCATGCTCAGAAAAGGGACCCCTGTTAAGAGTGCCAGGGGTGCGGTGCAGGAGACTGCTGAGAGCAAGGCTGAAGCAGAAAGTTGAGACACTGGCGATTTCTGAGCAAGGGCATGAAGACTAGGGCTGTGTTTAGAGAGGTGACTGGATTTGGGGGCCAGGGAGCCACCAGAGGCAGACCCAGCCAGGAGGGGACTGCATAGTCCCAGGAGGGACGATGAGGGTCCTGGCCCAAGGGGGGCAGTGTTGGATTGGAGAGGAAGGAGCTCACCAGCCCGGAGCCATTTCTGGGGTAGAATCATCAGGCTGCTAAGGGGAGGCGAGGGAAGAAGGGAAAGGGAAAGATAGTGAGATCCACAGAGGTACTCCGTAGGCTGAGTTTGCTGTGACCCAGAGAGGACTGACAAGTTGCCTACTGCTTAACTATGAGGATACGATCCGAGAAATGCATCCTAGGCGAGTTTGTCGCTGTGCAGACATTATAGAGTGCACTTACACAAACCTGGAGGGTATATCCTGCTACGTGCTAGGGATAGCCTATTGCTCCTGTGCCTCGGAGCAATAGTTTTTCAGCTCCATTATAACCTCATTGACCAAAACATCGTTGTGGGGCGCCTGACTGTGCTCAGGGAGGCAGGTTGTAACCAGTTGAATGTACATGATCCCAACTCCAGAGTGTACTGAATAGTATAGCTTTGTTATAGAAAAAGTGAGTAGTGCTTTAAAATGAACTTCTATTGTGTCTCTTTAAAAAAAATCATTATCAGTCTTCTATTGCCTAGTAACAAATTACCACAGATTTAGCTGCTTAAAACAACACCCATTTATCCCCTTACACTTTCCGAGGGTCAGGAGTCAGGGCACGGCTTCGTGGGGCCTCCGTTCAGGGGCTCCCACAGCTGCCTCAACGTGGGCCAGCTCATTCCTTGAAGGGGCCCGGGTCCTCCTTCGAGTTCATCTGATTGTTGGCAGAATTCATTTGTTTGCCTCCGTAGGGCTGAGGGCCCGGCCTTCTTGCTGACTGTCAGCTCTGAGAGTTCCCTCCTCTCACAGGCAGGTGCTCCTTCAGTCGGCGGGGATCCTCGGGCTCCTACAATGGAACATAATCACAGGAGTGACTCTCCATCACCTTTGCCATATAAGGTGCCCAAACAAGGGAGTAACCATCCAGGCATATTCACAGGTCGCCCCCACACTCAAGGGAGGGGATTATGCAGGATGAGTACGTCAAAGGGCGGGAATCTTGGAGGCCACCTGAGAATTCTGCCTAACTGAAAACTCAACACGTACAAAAGAAGGAACACAAATATTTATAAATCATCCACTTAATCCCATCACTCAAAGGTAAAAATACAAGTTCCTATTTGGAGTAGGCCCGTTCTGTCCATCCATCTGTCTATATCTCCCTGTACTATTTAAATGTTAAGAAATTTGCTTCTATATCGTATATAAAATCTGCATCAGGTATTTAAAAAATTTAATTGCAAAAAATGGTAACTTCGACCTCTCCATCATCATTTTGGGATATTGACATTGAAACAATCCACAGATCTTGATATTCAGATTTCCCATTATATGGGTGAGCCAGTTAATTCATTCAATCCCTTTGTTGGACTTCAAATCAGTTAGGATGTAACTGATTTCAGTTACAGATAAAGAAACTGTGCCTCAAACTAGCACAAGCAGCAAGGGCACTCATGAGCTCACCTAAAGAATGTCTAGGTAGATTCAGCGTCAGGGCCGGTTGGTTCAGGGGTCCGGTGACCCCATCAAGGTTCTTTCCTTCTCTCTGAGGGGCCATCCTCATGTTGTTTCATCCCTAGTCTGGTAGCAAGATCACTGCAGCATTTCCACTAATTATCCCTAATTATCTCCTTAGGATAAAATCCTAGAAGTGGAATTGCTGGGTCAAAGGGTATGTACATTTTTAAGGTTTTCGATATGTATTCTGGTGTGTTTTTTTGAGTAGATAGTCACTGGGGCCAATTTCCTCCCTTTGGTTCCTAGCTTACTCACTCACAGACTCTATCTTCTGATTGGGTGGTTCCCTCTCTTGTGTAGGTAACTTCCGGGAACCTGAGGAGGAGCTGGCGCTGACAGTCATACTTCCCAACGGAGACTGTGAGGATCCTGGAAAGGGGTCGGGAGCCTGTGACAGAGCTGCCCACACTCCCGCTGAGCCCGCTGGAGACTCCAGATGAAGTCTGGACCCCTGGGCTGCTGCAGCTCCTCACTGAGCCCCCAGGCCTCCACGATGACCTTGGGAGTGCAGTCTCTATGAAGCCCCACCTTCCAGGGGACTGCCACACTGACAGACACCAGCAAGGCAGCGGGACTTCCTCAGCTAAGCCAGACCTAGGAAAATGTATCCTCTGGGAACTTGGTCCCTCCCCCGCCTCCATTTTGGTCACTCTGGTCACAGTGAGGTTGTTTTTTCTCCCTCGCCTTGGTTTCTCTGTGCCATTGAGACAGAAGGCGGCCTACTTTGCGGCTCTGTGGTGCTGTGGCATCCCGTGGTCGTGTGCATGAGCATCCATCACTGCACATGCAGCTGGAAAGAAGTCTGGACCAGGAGTTATCAAACAGGGAGGGGAGATCTTAGACCTGTCACTCAACCACGGGCCAGGCTACCCACCTGCAAGCAGCACTGGAAGTGTGTGTGTGTGTGTGTGTGTGTGTGTGTGTGTGTGTGTTGCGAGGCTTCACTCTGACTGTGGGGCGCCCCTGGAATTTAGTGGGCATCTCGCATTGTGTAGGGCAAGCTCCAAAAACAGAATTGTTCCACCCAAAATGCCAGTCGTGGCACCTTTGAGAAATTGGATGAGCCAATCTCTTCCCCTTGTCAAATTCTAGGAAGAGTCCCCCAGAGCAGAGAGGGTTGGGGTTCCTGGGACCTCCGCTCCTGAGCAAGCCAGAATAAAGACTGCACTGCCCCCTGGGGGCCTGGGGGCCAGGCCCAGGACAGACATAGCCTTGCACAGCCATGCGAAGAAAGAGCCCTCTTTCTTCCTCATGTTGCCATTGACTTTCTGTGCCAAGTTCTTTTGAGAATAAGGCACCAAACAGAAGGAAAGTTGGGTTATGGATTAATGCAAGGGCATAGGACTTGCTCTCAATCTCAGGTCCTAACCCAAGGTCAAAGCCGACCCAGCCCAGAGGTGCCGAGTGCCGGAATCCTTTTTTCTCTGGTTATGAGTCAGACAGGGTCAATGATGGTCCCTTAAAAGCCAGGAAGACCATCTGTTCACTCAGAGAAGGAACTCTGCATTACCTCCCTTGTCTTCCTTGCCCGCCAGGAGAAATCCAGTCTTTGGAATGGCAAGGACAGCTCCTGCTTTTCCCTGGTAGGAAGTACTATCTAAGGGAAGTAGTTACATTCATTCATTCATGCGTGACTCACTCAGCACACATGCAATTGTGCCTACTATTTGCCCAGCATTCTGGCAGGTGCTGCATAACTTCCTTGAGTTATTTCTGCCAAAATAACCGTGATAGTGCCAAAAGGTGGAGTGGCAAACCTGTGGCTGGGGGCCTCTGTGATGTTAAAGAGGACCCTCGCTGCTCTGCACCTCCGTTTATTTTCTACAACAGGGAGCCTATGGGCAGGTAGGATGACAGCTTATTTGGGGCAGTTTGACAGCATGTGTCACTTTAATAATGCAAAAGTATCTCCAATAGAAGGACCCAATTGACTGCCTTCTGCCCAAGAGTGAACTCAATGAATTGCTGTTGATGTTTGAAAATATGGGGACTGGTATTGTTGAAGCTGCTCTATTTTTCTATTTATCCGTTAATTTCTTTGTAATGATTTGGTTAGACTTTTATTATTTGGTGGGGGGAGGGAGCTTCTCTTAAGGTAGAAAATTGTCTAAGGCAGAAGTCGAAAGGCAGAAGCCTCTGCTGTACTTCAAAACTCAGGAGTTTGTTGCCAATATTTGAAACTTGGGAGATTGCACATAAAGAGCTTGTTTTCAGGGAGGGGGGAGGGGTGTGCCGTCATCTTCATTTTGCTGTGATTCCACCCCCACACACTTGAGCCCTTTCTCACCCTCCCACCCTCCCCTCTACTGCACTTCCCCACTATAGGCCCCCGCCTGGGGCTGGTCCTGGTGGGCATTTGAGTTTGCAAGCCTCTGCTATAAAGGGTGGTGTGCGCATTTTTTCATCACTTTCAGTATTTCCTGTGAATATGTGAAGAGAGAGGGTCTTTCTTGACTGAGATTGGGTTCTGCCTCCCTACTGGTAAAGACCGGACTGACATCCTTCCGGGCCCCTCCTGGCTCCCGTGGCGGGCGGCTAAGAGAAGCACCGTCCTTTTGCTCTTTTCCAGCAGACAGAAGAGTTCGGTGCTGGGAGGGACCTTGGTGCTGGGCCTCCTCTCCAGCGACTATTCCGAGGCCTGAAAGCTGGGGTGGGCCTGTCTGAGAGTGGAGGCCCCGGGTTAGGTTAGTGGTGCCGGGAGCCGTTGACGAGGGGCCTCCGTCGGGTCACAATCTGGGCTCTTGGTACTAATCTTTCTAACATGGCAGTTGTACTGCTTCTGACTTGAATTGATTCCTTAGACCTAATAAAGCCAAACAGTGCCTCACTGCTGTCTAATAAAACACAGTGGATCCCCCCCTTTCTGTCTTGAGGTGCTCCTTCCGGGAGCCCTTGGGCAAATGGTGGGAAGCTCTGAAATAGTTTGGCCTGAAAGTCCGCTCGTCCTGCCCCGAGGGACATCTCTGCAACTTTACTGGCTGGGGTTGGAAAGTACTTAAAAAGAGATTTGTTAAAAAGATGGTATTTAGCTTGGTAGTTAACAGGGAGTATATGTTTGCGTGTGCACACGCACATGTTTCACGCGATAGAATGGCCTTAACTGAGTCTCAGAGAGCCCCTTACAACATGTGTGTCAGTTTCTCTCTTCTCAAAGTATTTGTCCCCAAGATTAACCACACAAGAGGAGTTCCTAGGTTGTCCAGCCAAAACCAAGGCAAACCTGCAAAGGGGCCCAGGGCTGCGCCCCGCCCCCCCCCACCTGTGGTCTAAACAAACCCCTCTGACCCCAGACAGAACCAGGACCCGCATTTTGAGTCCTGGTTGTAGAAGTTCGGTCCCTTTCTTGTCACCCTGACTTTCTTCTCTCCCTCACTGATTACCAGGGTGTTCTCAGAGTGGGGTGTTGCCTCGGATCATGGCCCCAACCCCAGACTACTAGTGTTCTTACCCTGACCACCTACACCCCAGGTGTATTGCCGGCTCCAGAAGTCCTGGCTGCCGGGACAGCCACTCCCAGCCCCTTGCTCCCCGACAGGAGTGGGTTTCACTTTCAGCCTCCACACCTGGTCTGGTCTGAACATGTGCCAGAACCAAAGCAGGCGAGACGGCCGAGCCGGCCAAAGGCCTGGGCCTGGGTGGGCGGTCGGAAGGGACAAGACCTCGGGCGAAGGTATTGCCGGCTCCAGAAGTCCTGGCTGCCGGGACAGCCACTCCCAGCCCCTTGCTCCCCGACAGGAGTGGGTTTCACTTTCAGCCTCCACACCTGGTCTGGTCTGAACATGTGCCAGAACCAAAGCAGGCGAGACGGCCGAGCCGGCCAAAGGCCTGGGCCTGGGTGGGCGGTCGGAAGGGACAAGACCTCGGGTAAATCTACTAAACCGGCCCTGCCCAAGAGAAATCTAACGCCAGGCACACATGTAGCTTTCCATTTTCTAGTAGCCACATTGGAAAAACGAAGTTATACAGGTGAAATTAATTTTAATAATATATTTTATTTAGCCCCATATGTCCATATGAATAAAAGCTTCAAGCACCAGCCTGGCCCGCCCCGGTGACATGAGATCTGCGCTGTTCTATGCCAGACCCTGAAGAGAGCACTTCCCCTCAGAGCAGCCTTGCCAGGAAGGCGGACCTGCCCCCCCTATAGCAGGGCTCGGGTGACCGCAGGGCCACCACCAGCGCTAAGTGGCAGAGCAGGGTCTCCTGGCTCCCACGCCGGCTCTTTCCACCTCGTCGCACTGTAGCTCAGAAAGCAATCAAGCCTGATCTTGACAGTTGGGCCGAGGCCTCCGCTGACCCAGGATTTAAATGCCAGGAGGCTAGGGGTTTGTGGGTAGGGGTTAGTGCTCACAAGGCGCACACCCCTTCCCGAATTCCTCGCCTTCTGCGGAGCACTGTGACCACGAGAGGGCGCCGCAACGGGGTCCTGGAGATGCTCTGGCAAAGCTCAGAACTGAAATCCTGTTGGAGGTGGGCACAGGGGCAAAGAACAGGGTTCCCTCCCTTCGCCCTGACAGAGGCCCCGACCAAGCCCCTACCTGTGTGAGCCCTCGGCTGTCCTTGTTTGGGCTCTGAGACGTTTCGTGGCACTCCTAACACTGAGGGAGGGAGTTGTTTATATACAGAGCGCCTGGTAAGAATTCTCTGTGGTTTTACCAAGTCCCAAGTCTTCGCTGAAAATAAATAGAGCTTGTCTGGGAGAGGGCAGGGGCTCCCAAGACATAGGTCTGAATTCTAGCCTTGTGTCAGTAACTGGCTGGCACTGAGCCCTTGAGTACTTCCTTGTTCAGTTGGAACATAGACCAAGAGACATGACTAGAGCTGTCGTGGGGTAAAAGCTGTGGTTCTCAACCTTCCTAATGCCGCGACCCTTTAATACAGTTCCTCATGTTGTGGTGACCCCCAACCATAAAATTATTTTCGTTGCTACTTCATAACTGTAATTTTGCTACTGTTATGAATCGTAATGTAAATATCTGATATGCAGGATGTATTTTCATTGTTACAAATTGAACATCATTAAAGCATAGTGATTAATCACAAAAACAATCTGTAATTATATATGTGTTTTCCGATGGTCTTAGGCGACCCCTGTGAAAGGGTCGTTCGACCCCCAAAGGGGTCGCGACCCACAGGTTGAGAACCGCTGCTGTAAGGGGACGCGTAGTAGAGTAGGCAAGGAAGGCTTCCCGGAGGAGGTGCTGTTTGAGACTCAAGATAAATCATATTAGACAGAGGTGGGGGGAGGGGGGAGCCTTGAAGACAGAAGGAAGAGCAGGTACCGAGATCAGAGACAAGATACATAGCCTCATGTCCCCTCTGGGAGTCACAATAGTTCTGGTGGATGCAGCATGGCAGCCAGGGCAGACGCCTGGGCCATGAAGGTGGAAGGTAAGCAGGGTTGGGTGAAAGCCGCGGAGGAGCTCGGAGGGAAGACTCCTTGCCTTCCTGGTTTGGGGCAGTGCTTTCGGCTGGCTGTGAGAGCGGACTGGAGAATTGTGAGACAGGAGACAGGAAGTCAAGGCTGCTGGAAGCTGTCACAGCTGGAAAAGAAGAGGGGGAGGCCACCAGTGAGTAATGGAGCGACGTGGGAACGGGGCTGGTCTGAGAGAGATTGAGGAGACCAGGTCTGGCACAGACCAGATCAAGGTGCCCCTCAGGGTCCTGCTTCCGTAGCTGAGGGATACCCTTCCCCACACTGAGATCCAGGCAGGATGGTGGATGGGCTGGAGGCATGGACAGGTGTGTGCAACTCTGAGGTTAAGGAGCATCAAGCAGAGATGTCTGGTAGGTGTGTGAGTCTAGTGCTCCGGAGAGAGGGCAAGGCTGCAGGAGTACATTTTAGGAGTCACTCTCTTGTCCATAGCAATAAAAACATCGATCTCCCGCAGGGAGAACAGGGAGTGAGAAGGCGACTGTGGACAAAAACACAGAAGAATGAAGCATTAAGACTAGAGCCCAAGATGGAGCTGAGGGTTGCAAGTAGCAGAGGCAGTGGTTAGAGTTGAGTTTGGGGAAGATTGCTCTGATTAAATAGTGCAGAATGGGAGAAGGCACAGATATGGGGCCGCCATCTAGGTGCAGAGCAGCATCCCCAAGAAGAGAGGGGCCTCATGGGGCTCAAGTGAGGTTGGGGTGATTACAAGCACAGCATCCACCCCAGAGACATGATTGTCCTCCCATAGAAAACGTCTTCTCTTTGAAGAGCAAGGGTGGCAAAGTGGCCACCTCTCCACTTTAAAACATTTTGAATTAGTTGCCAACATTTCTTTTAATTGAGTCCAATTGGCATAAAACATTGTGTTATGTTATTAAAAATATTTTTTTTATTGATTTCAGAGAGGAAGAGAGAGATAGAAACATCTATGAGAGAGAATCACTGGTCTGCTGCCTCCCTCATGCCCCCTGCGGGGGATCAAGCCTGCAACCCCGGCTTGTGCAACCGGGAATTGAACAGTGACCTCCTGGTTCATAGGTTGACAATGCTCAACCACTGAGCCGCGCCAGCTAGGAAAACATTGTGTTAGTTTTTGGCATACAACATAATGATCTGGTATATGTATATTTTGGAAAATGGTTACTACAGTAAGTTTAGTTGACATCCATCACTGCATAGAGTTACAATTTTTTTATTGTGATCAGAACTTTTAAGATTTACTCTCGTAGCAATTTTCAAATATACAATACAGTGTTGTTGACTGTAGTCACCAGGCTGTACATCTCCAGGACTTATCACTGGAAGTTTGTACCTTTTGGTCACCTTCAGCCATTTTGTCCAAGTTGCCAACATTGCAAATTCAGAAGATTTCACATGAAATTCCGATTTTTGGCTTTTCTTGGAAGAATCATAAGCTGTTACAGCAACAGCCCTGCGTTTTTGCACAGCAGCGCTGCAGGAGCCGAGTAGTCACTGCTCTCTACATGGGCATGCACTCTTCATTCTGTCACCGTCACCACCCCCCACTACTGCCTCCCTACGTGTCAGTGGCAATCCACCATCCTGCTGAGCTAGCATTTTCTTGCTCTACTCCTGCTTCATTCATTTCCATTACGTGCTACCTTTTGTTTGCGATTTCTCTAGGAGTTTGGGGAGCATGAGTGTCTATGGGAGGGACTGTCCAAAGTGCCTCCATAAAATGATACCCCCGAACATTCCATCTGTTTAAAGGGAGCTCTTCAAAAGTGTTAAATAATTACATTTGATACACTTTAACAACCATAGCTTAAGAATACTCATTTTTTAAAAATCCACACATACACTCAAATGTGTTATCAACCACAAAACATTGACTTGTGCCACTAGGTTACGGTGTTTTGCGAACTAAGCGTTAGTGATTATTGTCCAATTAAATGCAAGGCTAGTGACTTTAAAATGCCATCACTTGCCACTAGTACCTGTCAATGCTTTCTTTAGTACTATAGAGGTAAGATGGCTATTGAAGCTGGTATAAGACTGCACATGGCAATCACAACTGCCATTTCCAATTTCTAAAGATATATTAAAAATCAAGAACCCATTGCTATGGGGGGGGGTGGGGGGAGGAACCAGGCAGATGGAAAACAAAAATGGAAGACTCTCCCCCACCCCTCGCTTTTGGAATACTTTTCACAGTATATCTTTTTATACTTAACGATTTTTCAAATATGTAAATGTACAGTATTAACTATTCCAAATGTAAATAAAAACGTCCATTGTTCAACGTTTTAATAAAGTAATGATGGATTCCTTATAATGAAGTATTTCTGTGAGGATTTCTTTTGAAGACGGGTTCTGCTTTTTAAACTCTTTTTGGTTATCACTTTTTAAAGAAAACGGTCTTTGCCACATCCTTAGCCTCCAAAGGCTTGGCAGGGTGGGCGCTGCAGTGAGGCCCCCCACGCAGCAGGTGGCGCTGCAGCACGCACCGCTCGCACTTCCCCTCAAAGCCCTTTCTCAGCAATGGCGGGTGACGGTAGAGGGGCCTCTTTCTAGGCGTGGCCATTGTGAAGCCTGATCCCAGGTGCCGACAAGTGTCCCCACCCTGTGAGAGCTCTGACCTCAAAAAGGGTTAGAGAAAACAATGGAGCTCTCTGTGCATTCTTTCGTGCCGGTCGGGGCGGCGGTAGTGGCGCGGAAGGCGTAGGCCGGGGGAGGACTTGTGCCGGAGCGGCAGGCGGGACGGTGGACAGTCCATGGGCGGTCGGGGTCCTGAGTGAGAAGTGAGCCGGCGGCCCGAGCTGGCGACTGACTGAGCAGCGCACCGGGGCAGTGAGGAGGCGCCGCGGAGCCTACGGGTCCTGAGTTGACAGATACACTGCGGACCCCGGACTGCGAGTGAACGGGCAGGCGAGTGCAGGGCGCAGCCATGATCACCTCAGCCGGTGAGTGCGACCGCAGCGGGCGCCGAAAGGGAGGAGCCGCCATGCCGGCTTTTAGCTGAGTCAGGGCCGGTGACTGGGCACCTCCCGGCGGAGCGCCGGCCTGTGCGGCCGCTCGCTGCCCAAGGCCCAGTCCCGGGCCGGGGACTGGCAGTCCGTCTGGGCCTCTCTGCCCTGGGACCCCGCCGGGCTCGGGGGAATCGCACCAGGTCGCCCGCCTCGGCATCCCTCCCGCCACACCCCCGTGCCCGGACCCCGAGGTGCTCCCTGGGTCCTTCTCGGGTCCCGAGGAGTTTTCCTTAGTTCGAATCCTCCCGAAATGGACCACGTGGGGCGTCGCATCCCAGTCCTTACTCGCAGGTGGTTGGGACGGACGACCCCCGGTGCGGCCGGACGGCGAAGCAGTCTTCCCTGGCCCTGGCTCAGCCCGGTGCTCCTTAGAGTGAAACCTGGAGCTGGATTTGAGGCGGGTCGGTCTGGGCCTACGGCGAGGTGTTCGCAC